TAATTTATATTTTACTTTAATAATTGATTTTTTGATTTCAGATTTAATTTTTTTTCGGTTATACAATTTTTTTAATACCCGCGATTTTATTAATAGATTTTTTAAATAGCGAATTAAAAAAATAAATCTAAAAAATAAAATTAAATAAATAATTACTATAAAAACAAATAAATATAAAAACTAGGGAATGGTAACCGTTCAAGTCCGAAGTATATAATAATTTTTTTTTGTGCGATTTTTTAACGTTCAATTTTTGTGAAACGCACGTGACCAGAAACGCAGAATTCTATTGGGTGAGGGCAGAACGACATCATTGCTTCGGACAATAAAAATTGTTTTTTTATAATCTTATTTTAATATTCGAGATTTTTTTTTTATTTTTATTTTATATTACTAATATTTAATTTTATCGGATTTTATTTTATTTCTTGTATTTTAATTTTATTTTTTAAAAATCTTTTTAATATAGTATACTCTTGGGGAATTAGGCAGGATCGTATTCATTTTTTTTTATTTTTACTTTATTTTTTCTTTTTAGCATAAAATTAATTTAGGAAGCGTAGAGCGCCGAATGTTGAGGCAAAACTTGATAAATTATTTACATCATTCTAATTATAAAACTTTCTGCTTTTACAATTGTTTATAAAATTAAACGCAAAAACTGAATACAATAAAATAGTTCACTGAAAGGAAAAAAAAAAAAAACCGAAAATAATTCAAAATTTCAAAATTGATTTATTCGCAACATAAAAAATAATTGTTTTAAAAAAACAGGTTTCTTAAAGTGCGATTATTATATAAAAAACATTTTAGAAATATATATACGTAGAATTAATAAGAAAATGTAAGTTCGTAAATCATATACCGATAATGAAGTAGATGCTCGAGTTAATGGGACAGTAAATACTTCAAAAAAAAATTAATGCTGACTTTTACACTGATCACCCACACACAAGAAGACTTTAATTATCCCATTTTCTTTCTTATCAAACATTTTATAAAATTTTGGGGTATCTTCCAATTTTCCGTGATGTGTAAAGAAATTCATGTTCACTTGATTCGACCTCATGATTTGTAAAAGTTGGGCCCAATATTTTTGCACTAGAACTTGACCGCCTCGCAAAGTGAGTGATTTTTCCTAAACATTAATAAAAAAAAAAACATCATTTTCAATTATATTGGGAAATTAATTGCCTCAAATCTTTCAAGAATCTTTTCTTACCATAACTGCACCAATCGGAAAATTGTTGGCCTTCCCAACAAAATCTCCAATGATAGAAATTCTTCCACCTGCGACAACACGATGAACGTTAGCAATTATTAAACCTTTTTAGTTCAAAATTAGTTCAAAATCGCTCGAGCTTACCTTTTTTTGCACAACGAATTGCTTCACCTAACGCGTCAATACTATCGGTCTCAGAAAAGAGTGATTTTTCTACCTGTTGTTTAACGGTTTTGGTATAACGAAATCCTGTACACTCGATTGCAACGTCCAGTCCACCGGGAACAAACACCTTCATTTTCCCTACTATATCTTTATTCTCTTTGAAATTAATTGTTTCGGCTCCAATATCATGTGCCTTTGCTAAACGTTCCGGAACACAGTCAATCGCTATAAAAAACGAAAGAATTATAAGAATTACCTATAAAAAATCTCACTCAAGAAAGAAGTTTAATTCATGTCAAGATACCGATTATACGCGACGCGCCACGATATTTCGCCCATGCGATTGCGCTTAAACCAATTGGTCCGCATCCTATTTTAACAAATGAAGATCGATTAACAAGCAGTAAATTTATTTCTCTAACTAGAATATGACTTTTTTCCTTACCCCAAATTCCAACAACATCACCTAGATGGAAAAAGAAAGTGTCACAATTAAATAATTAAAAAAGACGGTATAAAACTCGGATAGTCTCTTTATTTCTCAATACCTTTCGACACTTCGCCTAATTCGTTGGCGTGCCAACCAGTACAAGCAACATCCGATAATAAGACCAATTTCTCCTATAAAATACCAATCAAATCGTTTTTTTTTTTAAAAAAAAAAAAGATTTCTTTGTTTATAATAATACCGTAATATATATATATATAAATTTTTACCCCTAAAGCATGATAATCTTCTTCCGAAACTTGAAGGAGATTGACATCAGCAAAAGGAACCCGAACGTATTCGGCTTGTATTCCTGTAAAAATTCAAAAAAAGGCGTCATAACGATCAACTTGCAAATTAAAAAGACTCGAACGATTATAAAATTTCGTTACCATCATATCCGCCAGTCAAATGGGAATATCCAAATAATCCAGCGGTACGATGACCTTGAAAATCCATTAAAAAATTATTAGATATTTGACAAAACTGGAAGGAGAAAGACCTTGATAATTACCGTATAATTCTTCCATTTCTTTACTTGGATTTGTGATATCGCAAGAGCTATACAATTTATTTTGACAATATTCACAATTTCCACATGCAATTACTGCGGAAATAACAACGCGGTTATTTGGTTTAATATTTGCGACCTTCTCACCAACCTAATCATCACCAAAAAAATATATATATCATTTGTAAAGATTCATTTGTATAGAACATAAAAGAAAATAAAAAAAACAAAGATAATTATATATACTTCAACAACGACTCCCACTCCTTCATGACCCAAGACATCCCCTCTCTCCATCCCATGGATTTCATTATGATACAAATGTAAATCGGATCCACATATAGTAGTTCCGGTTACACGAACAATGGCATCGGTTGGTTGCTAACAAACGATTATATAATCGGTCAATCTCGGAAAATTATCAAACGTCCCAAAGGATTTATTTTTATTTTATTCTACTTACAGTAAGGACAGGTCTTTGACGTTTTGAATTGATGCGTACGTCAGTAGTACCATGCCACTCAACGGCAACCATGGTATCATTTAAATTTTTTGCGGAATCAGTAATTACCGTAGCAGGAACAGCAGTAGTCATTTTTTCGAAAAATTTGAGAAAATAAAATTCAGAAGGATCAGGTTTTTATTGGTTTTTTTTTAATGTAAAAATTTACGAATAGTATGATGTAAATATGATCATTCAATTAATCACAAAACAAAATTAATGGTAGTTATTATATTTGATCAATTTGACATCATTGCAAATAAGAAAAAAAGGTCGATAAATTATTACGATTTATTTTTGTTGACTACATTATTATTGAATAATTAATTTCGGCCGGAATTAACAGGTTTAACCATGAAGGCAGTGATATAATTCTTAGCGAATGATGTCGCTTAACATATGATTTTGTCGATTACGTAAACAAATTAAGTGAATTACCATATATGTATGTTAATTAATATTATTATTTAACATTTTTTTTTAATTAATCCGGTCGTCGAAACCCAAAAGGTTTCGACTTTTGCCAAAATGAGATTTGGGTTTTGCCCCGCAACCTTTTTTTTATAAAGTTTGAGACTGAATAAGAGTATGAGAAAAAATATATCGTATGTGCATTTAGAAAGGAATTACTTTTTAAATATGTATATAAATGAAATACTATATATTATTTATTTACAATAAGTAACTTTACCAATATATATATATATACAGTTTATATATAAATCTAAATATTCAATTAATATAAAATTTTCATTTTATTTATTTTTATCACCACTTTAACCCATCATTTTTATCACCTTAATCTACTATCACTTATAATCAGACTATATTTTTATTCAAAAATAAAATCATAATAAAAATAATAAAAATGATTCAAGTATTTCTACTAAGTATAGAGAGTAAAGGAATACAATTAAATTTTAAGTTTCATAAATTTATGTTAGGCATCTATGTAGTAAAAAATTACATTAAATACATTGTGTGCTAGACATCTAGCAGTTAAAAGCTACTTTAAACTAAGAAACCTTATATATAACTTAATCTACTACTTTATTATTTTATACAAGTAATCACCGAAACCATCATTAAGCAACCTGATATTGAATCCTATAAATTAATTTCTTCAATCCATTCACTTGAGAACATTGCTAATGATGAAGCATACAACGTAATAACATCGGATTAGAGGAAGAAACTCCTAAATGTGAAACAAACCATTGCCCTTGTTCATATAAAAACAAAAACTATTACTCAAACTGCTATAGTTATTTAAACAACGAATTACAAGATGGTTTTTTTTTGATTTATCGAAATTATTGATGTTACAACGGATTGTTAAACTTTACATCTCTAACAAAAATTTCTAAGGTTGGTGGGAAAATACATCACGTGATTAAGCAAAAAATTATTTTTTTATATTCGAGGATTTGTAACTGCCGCTACCAGAGATTTTTCTCAATAAAGACTCCAAAATGTATTATTGAAAAATGTTTATGATTAGATCACCGGAAAAGTTTCTCGTATAATAAAACAAAAAGTAAACCAATCGCTTTGGTAATTCAATCGAAGACTATCATTGAAACTACAAAACAACTTGAAATTATACTATCATCGAACAAAACTATTAGTATTTATTTAAAGAAGACTTGTCAAAAAAGATTTGTAATCTACTTACGATAAATTTTTTCGAATGCACATGGAATCCAAAAATCAATGATACAGAGAATAAATCTCACGTTTTTATTATAATTATTCTTTGCGTGCGTGCAATAATCCCATTGCTTATCGGCAGAATAGATTATCCATGAAGAAATTATCTTGCGTCATCGAAACAAATTGACATAAAATAGGCGTAGCTCAAACTTGATGCAACTTGAACAAAAGCAAAAGCGCAAAGCTTGATGAGTTGTAACCCGATCAGAATACGTCTATCGAATCGTGCATACTCCGGATCAAATTTACTGTAGTCAAGCAGATGAAAAATAAAACGTTCTGGGTGATTGTTTAGAATCGAGATCGAAAAAATAAGAGATAACGTATGTAAGAATATAGGAGTTATGCTTTAAAAGTTACGACGGATTTGTAATGTACATTCCGACATCTTTATTTATTTTTCGCTACTTTTTAATAAATCAAACTTCGATAGAACCAAATTCCCGAATTGTTTTTGCCTTTCAGCTGAAAAGATCCGAGGCATCTGGTATAACGATTTCGTGAAAAAATTAAGGATATGTTGTCTTATTTTCTAGTCTTTTCTATACAAGGTCTAGAACTCACCTTGCGGTAACGTAATACCAGTCAAACTTGTATCACAGATTTTAAGTATCTGGTGATTAAGTATTCACGTGCGCGTTACATACTGTATAGAATAAAGCGAGAAAAAAATTTTTTTGATAGAAGCAAATGATATGTTTGATGCAATTGAAAGAGGGGAGTTCGCGAATCCTAGGCATCACATTATTTCTTTGCTTTCTCTTTTCTACAGCTAATTTATTTCCAATTCATTGATCACCCCGTGATTTATGTACCGTGAGAAATGAACCGAGATTTGTGACTTTTTTTTTCTCATTCAAAAAAGATTAAAGTTTCTAGATTTTGGGTTATCACTTTAAGGTCTATGGCCGAAAAGGTCGATAAGCAGTCATTTACAAGCGTACAAAAACTTTTATTTTATTTTTTCATTGATAACCATATTTAAAAACAACTATATAAGGAAAGTATCGTTGGTATAGCCCATTTTTTAGTTTCATGATTGAAGTTTGTAATAATAAAGAAATGATACGAAAAATTTTATATCACATTAATATTACATTTAAATATGAAAATTGCTTATTAGAATTTACTATAAATTTACTATCGACAATCCTTTAACGTTAAACAAACCAAATTAGTAGCCGTACTTTTTCTTAATTAGTCACACTTATTATTAAGGATTGATCTAATAAGAAAAGAGACACAATATAATAAGATATCTCACTAAGGAATTCTTAAGAACGGAAATCAACTGACAATTTATATATATAAGGTCACTTTCCACTCTGTAAAAAGAAAAGTTATTAAAACATACTCTCAAATTTCAATACTCTTTTCTTTTTTACAATATTAAAATTATCATGAAATTTCTTTTGCTTACTGTTGTAATTTGCCTTATCTACGCTCTTGTTACTTCACCGTTAATTGAAGGTAATTATATCTTTAGAATTTTTTTTCAATAATACTAAAACATTTAACAATTATTTTTTTCATTAATAGCTCGAAGGGGAAGAGGGGGAAGAGGACCAAGATGCGTTCCAGAGGATAGCAGCTGTTCCTACAGTCCATGCTGTGATGGACTTACATGTTCCAACGGTATATGCGTTCCTGAATAATTGCTTTAAAAAGCATCTATTTTAAATGCTTGTTAATTAAGTTTCAGCAGACCTCTTGTTTGATAAGTACTGTTTATAGAAATACTTGGCCAATGTCACGCTTCAAATTAACACAATATAGGTCTTATTTATTATTTATTATTTTATTATTATCTTTATATGTTACAGGATTAAACTGAAGTATTACAAAATCATATGTTACATTTATGGTTAGTTCTAAAAAATCGTTTTTATTTCTTTGTTAATGATGTAGTTATATATTATATTATTTTTATATACTGTAAATGTAATTAATAAATCTTTTTGTTATAATATATAATTAATATTTTTTTTAATAAAATTATTATGATAATATTGTAATTTGAATAAAGATAAGTCATATTATAAGTTGATAATAAATAGGATGAATTGATTGATTAATTATAGTTTTATAATAAATTTATTTATTAAAAGAAAAAATGTTAAAAGTTGTATAATGATTTTTTTTTAGAATGTTTTTGTCAAAATTATAAGGGTTAAATCCTGATATTCTATATAATTTTTCATATTCTAGAAGCATATTTTGATTTGTTATAAATGCTGAATGATTTAAGATAAAATATTTCAACATTATTTCAAAATAAGATATCTATTAAGAACAACATAAACTTATTCAAGAGAAAATATATTTCCATCTAATGCAAGAGATACTTTTATAAGGTTAACACTAGTCGAAATAGTCCAAATCGGCCTAAAATCAGATAGCTGATTTTAGGCCGATTTTGATACTATTTACGGCCGATTTGCCATATTTTCCGATCGGCACAAACAGGTGCCGATAGACGCCGATCGACCCCAATCGGACATGGCCATTCGAAACTTAA